CAACTAAAGATGGGAGTACTAAGAAAGAGGGCTAGCTTAATGTCCTAGCCGAGGGCCGCTGAAATCACTAACACTAAATCTAAGAGGGGAAGAGCAAAATATGCTAAGGAATTCGAAGAACTGAAGAAGAACTGACCTCAAAAGTCGCTTTTGATCGAAGGAATTACTTTGTCTCTCTAGAAAATTGGGCAGAGCTTCGCTATAGCTTAAAATCGCGCAAGGAGAATGACCTCTGCCCTTGGGTATTTATAGGGAATGGGCCTCGATATATGGGCCTCCGTTTGAAAAAACCATCATTACACACCGCCGGTTCAGCCAATGGGTGGCGCCCGCCCTCCATCTGCCAATAAGGAATCGCCACGTCAACCCCTCTTCCAACGGCTATATCACAACGGCTCTATTTCGGAGACTCTTGAAACAACCCCAGGCGATAGCTTCCGGCTCTTACTGAGTAGGCCCTTCGGTGAGCGAATATCACCAAGTACCTTCGAACAAACTGCAACGTAAGCCCCCGGCTAGCAATATCACCCCCCTCGGGGATTCGTCATACAATATAACCCCTTCAGCCCGAACTAGCCTTCGGCCTAAAGGAGTGGGGGACTAGATACACCCCTCGGGATTTATGCAGCGTATAGATTGTCGAAAACGAAAAAGTTGCAGACAACACAAAGCAACGGCCATCGGGTGACACCAAAGGAGAACCCTTCGGGCACATGAGTCTTCGGACCCTTCGGCAAAAGACAAGATATCAAAAAATTCCCACAAGTCACTGGCGACAATGAGTCAGCCCTCATCACAACACACACAGGCAACTCATTTATACTTCCCTCAGAAAACCCTCGACATGTGGGGGGACTGAGGGGAAGCCCTCGGTAAATCTCAGGAAACCTCTCCGGATAAGGGAAAGCCTTCGGCACACGCGGCGCATCAACGCAGTTACTCCTTTTCCCTCAAGTGCCTTTCGGCAAAAGGAGTGGGCGACTCCTGATGGAGTATATGGCCCAGGAGCCCCCGGCCCACAGACTCCTACTTCTCATACACAAGCCCACTAGGCCCAGGGGGCGTCTCAGGCCCAAATACAACGGCCCAAGCATCAAGAGAACCCAGAATGCACACTGGAATGCCTTCGGCCCTTCCTGGCCGAAGGCTCCAAATCGAACATGGCAGCCAGATTCGAGCTTGCAACGCTACTGGGAGAAAACGGCGCAAAAGGTATCCCTCGGCTACCGAAGCCCTCGGCACTCAGGGATGCCTTCGGGGGCAGGAGAGCCCTCGGCACCCTCTTCACTTCCACTACGAGGAACCCTCGGCCGAAGGGGGGGCCTTCGGCCAACACCTCCATCATCATCAAAGATTCCCTTTGGAGACAGTCAACCACCGCATTTAATGCAGCGTCACATCCACCCACCGCATTTAATGCGACGAACATGCCACTGCCGGTGCCACTCAGTTGATGTGACCCTTCGGCCGTCAGATCGTTAACACGTGTCCCCTCATCGCATTTATTACTACTATAAATAGCACCCTTTTCCCCGTTGTAAAGGACCAGAACATCTCGAGTTCATTTAATAAATCGACTCTCTCTCCTCCTATTTGCTCTGACTTCTCTCTAGTTAGTCCCGCAATAACCCCTCGGATAAGATACCCCCCGGGTAGACAATCCATCAGCAACTTTTATTGAACAGGCAACATGGCCGAAGCCCCCAAAAGATAGAGATAGTACTCTGATCTTCCCAGTACAGACTTAAGAGTCAAACAGCCTCCTCTCTATTCTACCCTCCACCTCTATTTATACTAACTATTCTAATATTATTCTTATTCTCATTTATTATTATTCTATGTAGGTCCCTAACACAATTACTGCTCTTATAATAGAGGCAACATAGATAACCTCAAGTCTAAATTAATGTGCCTCAAATCATCTAAAAATGCCTTTTAGAATCAAGAACTATCTCCCTCTTCCAATAAGGGTTTTATCAAGTTCATCTAAAGAGAAATGTGAAGCAGCCAATTTTCCTTTATCAACCTCAAATGGCTCCAAGGCTGTATCAAATCCTCAAATCATATGAAAATTGAATACATATAGAAGATTCTGTCCTCGAAGTTGCAAAAAAGGAGTCAAATAAGTCCTTATATAGAAGATTCTGTCCGGAAGTGTCATTTGAGGTGGCTCCCGATGGAATTTTTTGATGAAATTTTTTGAGCATCTTATTCATTAAGTCTAGTTTACTCATATCAAATTTCAAATAAAAATTCAATCGGGAAGACATTGAAATGAATTCTGGAAGATAATTGTGCCGTTAAAAGCGTAGTTATCTTCAAGAATTCATTTGAATGTCTTCCCGATTGAATGTTTAGCTGAAATTTGGTATGAGTAAACTAGACTTAATGAATAAGATGCTCAAAAAAAATTATCAAAAAATTCTACCGGGAGACACCTCAAATGGCACATCCGGACATAGTCTTCTATATAAGGACGTATTTGACACCTTTTTTACAAGTTCGAGTACCAAACTAACCCTTTACTCCATACAAAAGGGAAACTGACATACCTTGATGAAAATGGGTAAAGGAATGTCGAATATCCATTTAGGTAGTACGTATTAGTTTAATCTAGATAGCAGATAGCCAGGTTCTATAAATTTAAAGAGAAGAGTATTGATTTCTTTAAAGAAACTAAAAAATAGATAAATAAAACATAATTCAGGCTAAATTTATTAACTACTGTCAAGTTAAGTAAAAAAGTAGATGTGGAGGGAGGAGGGCTGAAAATATATTCTTTAAGATAAATTCACTAAACATATTCTACAAATGAAATTGCAGGTTTTTCAGACATGGGGGAGGAGGGACTGAATATAAACAATAAATAAGCAATTTAAAGATATACTATATATATGTAACAGGTGAAGTAAAAAATAACACCAAGACTATAAACTAAGTGAATAATCCTATTAGGACGAAGAGAGTACCCATATTTTAGACTATCACATTGTATGACTGTTATTTCTGTAAACTTTATAAACCAACGTGGAGGCAAATCATTCTCTGGAAATTACCACGCTATTTACTCCATTGTTGAAATGATACTAAGCAAAAATCGCAACTGGTCAAAAGTTTCAAACTTCTGGAGAGATAAGTATGGAAAAGTTTGGCATACAGTCAAAGGAAAAAAGCGAGTTGATAATACTAAACAGTATTATTTACTGTCCACCCATAACAATCTCAACTAACTAGATATCCCCAGTCAAACCAGATGCTTTGTGGACTGGCATGGGTGAGAATCCATCAAGAAGCTTCACCCACTTCACCCCCCACTTCAACATCAAGAGTGTCCACATTTGTTTAAACCCTCCCAATGGTATAAACATATTATACTTTCAAAAAAAATGAAAGAAAACAAAGACCTGAAAAGATGGAATGTACCATCTATGGTGATAGCTATTCATAAAAACAAACCATGGAGAATTCCCTAGCAAAATTGACATGCTAGCAAAAAGATCATCAAAAGCTTCAAGTCCATGCATGTTAAAGTTTCAACTTAAGTTGCTTTATTACAAAAGTAGAAATATAAAAAAAAAACAAATCGATGGAAATAGTATTTAGTGAAAAGGAAAAATATACCATTTACATCATAAAGAACACCAGCTCCAATGAGATTGTTTATACACTACAACTGTCGGAACATTTCCGGTAAGAAAGTATCATCAAATGGATATGAAGTTAACAACAATTTCCATTGTGAAACTATATTATACTGTTGAATGAAAACAACACAGTACCATACTACTATTGATCTATGCATTTGAAAAGAATGTGAATACAAAAGAAAACTCGATTACATAAATTAGGAGGTTCAAAGGGATTTTAAGAATTCTTAACCGTCAACACCGGGATAGAAGCATCAGACCAAAAGTTACAAATTCAAGCATTATGAGACTAAAGAAGTAAGGGTGGCAGATTTAGCTACCTTTTGCATAATCATATATGTACTTCAATTCTCATTGTCTTATTGTAATGATTTATTTATTCTTCATTTATTTTGAATATGGATGATCGATGGGGATGAAGGCGGGGCAATAAACTCCGGAACTATATGAATTCACCGTTGGAGAAGAAGTCCTGAGACATACCTGGATGGAGATAGCGATCGGCTGGGATGAAGGTGGGGCAGCAACTCCGGTGCTGAAATCCAGACGTACGTGTGGATAAAGATGGCAAATGGATTTGGCGAAAAAGAAATTTAACAGTGAGAGATTGATTTTAATCCTACGGTGCAGATGCTTAAGCGATTGAGCGGGAATACTGTTCCATGAACAGTAAAAACATGTATTGCTATTATGTATATAGAGATATAGAGATGCAAGATATGAGTGCTTGAATCCAAATTAATGCATGTTGCATATTTCAACTATAAACTTTTAAAATCATTAATTTATTACCCTATGGTCTTATGGGGACCAATATGGGAAACACAACAAATTGATGATACTAATTATCCATGCTTATAAAATAGTTTTTTAACATGTTTCGTAAATAAAATTACATATTTCTATCATGACATGAAAAATAGTGACAATATATATGCTATTCAACTATTCAAGGTTGCCTCATTGTAAAAGGGGTGTCATTATTTTCTTCCCAAAACAGAAATTTATGCACTCTTTGAGAAATTTTTATTGTTTTATTCTTTTATAATACTAGTATGACTAAATTAATTTTACTTTAATAACAAAACATACGTAGTACATAGCCTTATTTTTTTTAACACTCTACATGTTTTACTCATGGAAATGGAGGATGATGCACACCTAATTACCTAAATCGAATGGAACAAAGACATAGCTAAAGTGGCAGGGTATGCAACCTACCTATCACATATGGAGTAACTTTTTCAAATTGCCATTCTCATTTTCAATACACTAATTATAAGTTAAACTGCAAATATCTAAATTCTGAGATATCAGTTTAATAATTCAATCACATTGAGGACCAGATAAAACTAGCGGAATATTGCCAATAAATCATGGGTGTAGATGAGAGAAAGAACAAAACATTAGCATGTGTACATGAGACTATGAGAAGACATTATCCAATCAATAGAAGTCCTGAACTCTATTCCTGAGGAACTTGTGTAAGTTTTGAAATTTTAAGCTTTTAGCATGTAGATGTTTTAGAATAATGTAAGTATAGAAACTAATAGACTAAATGACTAATATGAAATGTACTTCTTCATACAGTTTAGATAGCGTGATTATGAAATCTCTAGGACTCCAGAAAACAATCCACCGTTCAGAACCGACTAATATCTCTAGGGGGCCTAAAGTGAAGAGGATGAGTTCCCGGGGTGGCGTTTACGTCCTCTTTCCACATCTTTATGGTCTTATCAGCCTCACAAGTAATAAGCCTTGTACCAGTGACATCATATGCCATTGCATAGATGCCAACCTCACTTTCCAGAGACCCGGGTTGAACAATTGTCTGTGAATGCTGAAAATTGTGGCCACTCCTCCAATCCCAGAACCACAAGCTCCCATTATCACCTCCTGTAGCCAACACACCTTCCTCATTGACAGCCATGGCATTGATAATTGCTTTCTGCTGGGAAAGCATGTTGTGCAGAAACTTTCCTTCTGGGAGTTTAAACTTCTTTATGTTGTCAGCAGAGGCAGACGCAAAAGCTTCCTCCTTTGGATGCAATGCCATCGCCCGGACAGATTTCTTGTGGTGTGTGAGTGTTGACATGGTCTTCCCATTCCTGAGGTCCCAGAATTTCACAGTTGAATCATTTGAGCCTGTAATCACTTGAGGGTCCAACGGCCGAGCAAGAACAGAGCAAACTGTGTTCTTATGCCCTGAAAAAGCATGAACTTGAGTCTTTTTCCTGATGTCCCAAACCCTGCACACAGAATCACGACCCCCAGTAAGTAGAAGATCAAGGGTGGGGTGTAGAGCCAAGCAATAAACACCGCTTAAGTGACCATGATAAGACCGAATGACCTTGTTCTGTTCTAGGTCCCAGCACTTGACTTGTTTATCATCGCCAGCAGAGAACATGTAGGTATGTTTGCTGCTAACTGCAAGGCCTCTTATTTGTTCAATATGACCAGTAAGGGTGAGCTTTAGAGTCCCGGTTGCTAAATCCCAGATCTTGATTGTTCTATCTGCTGAGCCTGTACAGAACCACGCATTGCTGGGGTCCACTGCAACAGACCGCACCGAACCCAAGTGCCCGCTGATGACCCTGTAGTTCTTCCAGGGCGCATGCCACTCAGGGTGTGGCCAATCACTTGGTGTTCTTTCCATGGTTGCAGCAGTTGAAAGACCCTTTTTGGAAGAAGGGTTTAATGGAGCAATTGCAGTAGAAAATCTGATCTTTGATTGTAAAGCTGGACCGAGCACTAATTCTTTACCTAACCCACACTTCTGGGGGCCGATTCTTGCAATTTCTATGCCTGCAAGAGAAAGGGCGTTAGAAGAAGCAGATTCCCTTTGAGCTTGGAACGATTGAGAAGCCATAGCTGGGGATGTGTTTGTTATAGATCTGTATTCAAAATTTAGCTTATGTCTTAACCGATTCTTCTTGCAGTCAAGAGGAGAGAATAGATCAAGGGCTCGTTTCAGAGATTTGAAACTGAGATTCTTCAGAGACTGGGGCTCTACTGGTAACTCATATTCCATTGTTGCTACCCCTGGCATCGCAAAAGGCTAACTTTTAAAGGTGGCGCTTTCCGGCCACGTAGGGATTGTGGATCTGTGATTTCCAATTCCAATTTCCAAGTAACGATGGTGATATGAGTTTAGGAAGGCTGGATTCGGTTATTCGCGTGGGCCAACATTAACCGTTTTGACTTGATTTTATAAAATAAAATCCTACCGTGTATATATATAATGTGTGTTATGTAACATGTCAATGTCCAATAGAGCAGTTTAGCCCACTATAACGTGTCCTAGTCCCATTCAAAATTTTAGGATACAAGGATACATACTACGAGGAAACTTCATGTCAGGCCGGCCTGACGGGCTGCCCCGTCCGGCCGAGCCCGTTTGGGCATCTTCCCGGTGGAATTTTTTGATGAAATTTTTTGAGCATGTTCCTCATCAAGTCTAGTTTGTCCATACCAAATTTCAGCTCAAAATTCGATCGGGAAGGTCGTCAAATGATTTTTGCAAGTTAACTGGTCCGGAATATGTATTTTCCGGACCAGTTAACTTGCAAAAATCATTTGACGACCTTCCCGATCGAATTTTGAGCTGAAATTTGGTATGGACAAACTAGACTTGATGAGGAACATGCTCAAAAAATTTCATCAAAAAATTCCACCGGGAAGGTGCCCAAACGGGCTCGGCCGGACGGGGCAGCCCGTCAGGCCGGCCTGATGAGAAGAGCCCTCTACATACTACGTATAAGACTTGAGTAAAGAGATGTCATAATCCCGTTCAAATTTTTACTACGTAAGAAATAAGGATCATTACAATATTTTAGACCAAATAGGGCTAGGGATAGTAACGGGGCAGTTCGGGATCAGGTATGTCATTACCCGTACCCGCCCCATTGGTTATCTTTTTACCCCGAAACCGCTCCGTTACCCATTGGGTATTTTTTACCAGAATTGTACCCGATTAGAACAGGGAACAGTTTTCCCCGCGGGTAACCGTTTTATTAAAAGATATTTTTTTCAAAATTAATATATATCCTAAAATGATGATTAATTACTTATCATTGACCACCTAAACTATAAAAATAAAAATTAATTAGAAAAAAATATCAAGTATTTTAAAACATTATTAAAAATTACAATAATTTGAACCTAATATTCACAAATAATATATGTCTAGATTCAAATTTATGAATCTCTTAACATCAAAGTTTGAAGTCTTGTCCCGATAGTAAAATCTAAATATGAATTACAAAAATATTTAACTTTCAAAATTTCAATAATCATATCCCACCAACATTCAATATCTAAATTTAAAAACATTAATGTATCCAAGTAACATAATAAAAATGGGAGATTTTTTCCTAAATTATTACTAATAAAAAATATGTGAACAAAAATGTGACTATAAGTTACCATGAGTAAGTGTTATAGTCACTACGATATAACATTTGAATACAATTATAATCACTAAAGTTATTATAGTCGCATTTTGTCCACAACATTTATTTTGGTTATATATTTGGAATTGTTTCCAAAAATGGTACTTCTAATACTATGATTTATCTATTCGTGTAGTTACTATTTTGGATATCTCATAATTCAAATTTAAAACTTGATATAAATAGAGCAACCAAATAAAAATAATCTAATAAACATTGCATTTCTGTAATTTCTTAACAATTACATAAATTAAAGCAAATTAGAGTAATGCTTAATAATATTTGGACTTTAAACTCATACTTGAGTACTATGAAAGTTATAGGATAAAAAATTAAGAAAGCCACAATATAAAAAATGTGTACAGAATATCACGAAAATCAAATAATCAATATGTGAAGAAAATAAATCATGTAAAACACAATACCCATCAACTCTGAAAGTAAGAAAATTCTTTGTGATAGATATAAGAGATTCGATGATGATGACGCAAACAAAGGAAGGGTGATGAATGAAATTGAAAATTTAAAATCTTTGAGCTTTGGAGCACCAACTCTTGAGAATTGCAAAGGATAGCTTATTAGCCAGATATTGTTTCAAAGTATTAGAGGGAATATGATTTAAAATAAAAGTATTAGAGGGAATGAGTGTCATATAATAATGTAACTATTCACATATACTTAATCTATATAAATACATTATATTGTTTCAAAGTATTAGAGGGAATATGATTTAAAAAAACTATTGGAGGAAATGACTGTCATATAATAATGTACTACTATTCACATGTACTACTATAATATATTAAACAATAAATACATAATCTATTAAAATATACTCTCTCTGTCCCAATATAAAAGGCATATTCGCTTTTCCACACATTTGTAGGGTGAACACTGTTTGGCACTGTTTGGACACTGTTTGGACACTGTTTGACACTGTTTTGTTTGCCAAAAAGGGAAATGTGCCTTTTATATTAGGATAGCCCAAAAAGGAAAATGTGTCTTTTATATTGGGACGGAGGGAATATAAGCTTATTGTGCGGGTCGGGTAATTGTTCAGGTAACCGTTACCCAGTCAAAGCGGTTTTCCCATTTTGATCGATTCGGTTCGGTGCGGGTATCCATCGGGTCGGGTTGAATTGTCATCCCTAATTAGGGCTGGACTGCTGGAGATATTTAGGGTACGTAAAATGTGATGGTTTAACACTCATGTATTATTTAATTGTATTTTAAGTTTTCAACCTTGTACAAAGTACAATTTTATTTGTTTCTGAGTAATCGTCGGTTCTCCTATAAAATATGGATGCGAGTTATTACAAATATAAACTCAATAGATTATTATTACATGAAACAACCCGTTTAGTAACCCATAATTTTCACTTTATCAATTTTATTATACAATTTTGGAACAAATGCGTAAATTTTGATGTCACACACTGAATTGTCGAATAATCAAAGTAAATTTCCTAATTTTAATACTCCGTAATAAATAAGATTGAAATTACTTTTCGGATTAGTTTGACTAATGTTATTGTAAAAATAATTTTATCTATTTTATATAATTTATTATTATTATTGATATACGGAGTAATACTTTGTATGTTTTAAATACAATTTTTCATAATTCAACCAATTCAGTTAGATATTTATCAATTTTAGCAGATTTAGCCAATTCAATCGATTCAATCAATTTTATTTTATTTCATTATTTGTATCCATGTATTTATCCTTCATGAAATCATCATTACAATGCATTCTGTTAATATAATAATGGAAAACATTCAAGTACACATATTGGGATCTGAGAAGCTATTTTTGAAAGGATTCCTCTAAATTTAAGGGTATGTTTGGGAGTTGAGTTTTGGAGGGGAGAGGATGGTTGACAAGGGTTTATGACTCTCCCTTTAATGTTTGGGACTTCAAAAATTTGGAAGACATGGTTTTGGAAGGGTTTTGTAACCCTTCAAAATCCTTCAAATGCTCAATTTTTAAGTTCCCCCAATTGGAGGATTGTGAAGGATAACTAATTAAATGACAACGTTAGCTCAATTTTAAATAAATATAAACTCAAATTATTTGAATCTGTCATATATGTGAGGTGATTTTAATTATAATTCATCAAAAACCTTTTCTTTTCAAATTTGATACTCCCAAACAAAAAGAAGGGTTTCCAACCATTTTCCTCCTCTTCCCTTCCAATGATTAACCTTCAAAACCTTCCCCTGCCCTTCTCTTCAAACTCTCAAACATACCGTAAGTGAATGGAAACTCTATAAACTCTATAAACATACCAAACATCTATCTGCTGCCTCTCAGGCTCTTATACTATTTAGAGTTGTAGACAAAGGTGTACAACCCAGTAAAAAAAAATCGGAAAAGACCTTTCAAACTAAGTACACTATATATATATTCAAAAATAACATTCAAATATACACTATATACCCTCCATATTTTAATCCCCTAGCATTTTACAAATCCAATATGTACCCAAAAGGACCCCCCGGGCCCTATATGAAAAGGCCTATTGGAACTTCAGTAACTTTATTGTTTTATAAAACACTAATTAATAAGCCATAATTTAATGGTGGACGACACAATTATGGATCTTTACAACATCTTATATTGAACATATTGTTGTAGGGAAGTGAGGGTTGTGTTGTATTCCATTAAGCAAGCCTCCTTTAAATAGGAGAAAATTAGGGTGTACAAGAGATGGGCCAATGGGCCAATTAAATTAATACATATAAAAACCCTAGACATACTTTCTATCTATAACGAATGCACATTAAAGGTAATTTCCTTCAACACTCCCCCTTGTGCTGAGTTGTAGATAGAATGATACACACCAAGCTAGTTGTCGTGTAGGAACTTCGTCAAGTAACAAAAACCCTGTGGGAAAAAATAACCTTGACAGAAAGAAAGCATTATGCGAACCGTGTCAAACTTCGTTCACTGAGTCCTTTGTTTGATCCTTACTTTGATCAACGTGTACCGTTACCTCATTAAAAACCTTGCCAAGTAACAAAACCCAGTGGGAAAAATAAACCTTGGTTTAAGGAAAAGAGTGTAACGCGTAGGTGTAAGACTCCCCCTAAAGTCTACACCTCCCCCCTGATATTTACATTAATCAGGGAAGTTCGGAAAGCTTTCGCATTCCTATGTTCTTTACATGTTTCTCAAAAGTGGCTTTGGGTAATGACTTGGTAAACAAGTCTGCTACGTTTTCTTCCGAGCTTATTTGATTCACTTGAATCTTGAGGAGAGCCTGTTGTTGCTGATTGTAGAAAAACTTTGGAGATATGTGTTTTGTGTTATCACCCTTGATATATCCCAACTTCATTTGTTCAATACAAGCCGCATTATCTTCATAAATGCAAGTAGGCCCTTCAGTGGTAGATTTTAAACCACTAGTTTCTCGAATATGTGTAATGATAGCTCTTAACCATATACACTCACGAACTGCTTCGTGTAGAGCGATAATCTCGGAGTGGTTCGAGGAGGTAGCCACAAGGGTTTGTTTAGTTGATCTCCAAGATATTGCCGTGTTCCCAATAGTGAAAACATAACCAGTTTGAGAGCGGCCTTTGTGAGGGTCAGAGAGATACCCAGCATCAGCAAAACCTACCAAGACATCATTTGGAGTTTCCATATAAGGGGTGATCCTTTTGTCTTTGGTATTTTCTTTAGTAACCTCAATTTCATTTGTGGTTTTCTTTGT